CCCCCCCCGTTGCTTCTGTTCCTCTTCTCTCCACCCGGTGTGAGGCTGCTGACTTTGAGTCCTCCTGAAAGGGGTACATTTAGTTTGGAAAAGTTGAGAACCACTGCCATAGGTTGATAAGTATATAGACTTCTGCTGTTAAGTTGCTATAGTGTTAAGGCTATTGCTGAGCAATTGCCTTATGTTAGGTGTTCAGTGTGAATCATTGCCAGAATGATTAATTTTATAGAAATGTAGAGCTTTTGAAACACTTTCTAAGAGCCAGGAACTAGAAAAATGCCATGAAAGGTTGCTTTAGGTATTGAGATAATCTCTAAATCTAAGTTCCTACTGTCAAATCCTGTTTTCTACACAGGTGGTCCTAGCCAGCTGGTACCGAATATATACCGGGATAATGGGTTTTATTGGTCTTCAAACCAAGACTTGCTGGACTGTAAACAGAGGAGAAGGGCTTAGTCCTGTTGAAAGCTGTGAAGGCAAGTTTTTTCCTAGTATATTCTTGTTCTGCATATACAGTAAAAGCTATTTTCTGGCATTTTGTGGGACTAGGGGATGCTAGTTAGTCAAATATTCTGTTTAATTTAGAGTTAATTGGAATAAGTGTGGGAGAGTCCTGGCTCTGGGCTGGGAAGATGAGATGTGGGAGGGTTTTGGTTGCTGGATTCTGACTAAGGATGTTAAATATTGGTTAATTGAATAGTCAATTAACCTCATGAATTCTTATCGGTTAGTCAACTATTCTATAGTCCCTGGGCAGCCCCTGTCGGGCAGGGCAGGGGAGAGGAAGGGGTCTGAACTCCTGGACCGGCATAAGCTGGAACTGAGCTAGGCTGCCTGCCTGCTTGGCTCTCATACACTTGAAATGCAGAGCCTTAGTGGGGGTAGATCCAGGATGCTGTGCAACCTGTGACTAAGCTGTGCTGCTGGCCTGCCTAAAAAATTTACTGGCAAAGGGTGGGGGGGAAATGCGTGTAGTCTATAGTGTTAACCTATAAGCTTTTGCTTATTGGTTAATCAACTATACTATTACCTACCTAATCCTGACAGCACTCACCACTGGCACCTCTTTGCAAGTGGGGATGTGTCCCTGCTGCCCCTAGTCAGAGGCACAGCTAGGAGCTGCACGTTGTCTCTGCTGTCTGGCACTGCCCTCACAGTTCTCATTGGCTGGGAGCTATAGGCAAAAGGAGCTAAAGAGCCAATGCTTGAGGTGGGCTGGGGTAGTACACAGAGTCCCTGTGGCTGTTCCTTCACCTACAGGGATATGTCACTGCTTCCAGGGAGCCAGGTAGAGAGCCTTCCTGCCTTGCACCAACTGCACTTTCCAAGAAGACCAGAAGTGCTGATTTATAGAGCTTTCCAATTGGTGAAGTGCTGGATGAAATCACTTTTACTGTATTTTGGGAATAGTAGTGTTAATGTGGGTTAATCACTGATTCGCTTTCATTTAGTTAAGTCTATGGGGTTTTTTAGCACATTTTGCAACATGGTGTATGAAACTTGAAAAAAAGAGATTTTTGTACTATGCCTACTAGAGGTAGAGCACAGAACTTTTGCAGCCTGAGTGGTAAGGACAAAGGGTTTATCCTCACATCAGTGCTAGCTAGAGCTATAACTTGAATATGGGCCCTAACCTAAGTCATGTCCATGTGCAAAAATGTCAAGCCTTTTGATGAGCATGAGTTGGAAGTTGCAATTCTGCTGGCAGTGGAGTTAGTAATGTAATGGGCATACAGCAGTTCAAATTATAATTCTACAGCTGTTAACCAAATTAGACTGTGTTTAAGTGGCAAATTAGGCTAGTTTAAGTAGCAAACTCAAGTGTACTAACTCGAGCAACTGTGGTAGTGGAGACCTAAAGCTTTTTTTTTTTTTTTTTTTTTAAAAAAAAAGCTTTTTTTGAGCCCTCCCTCTCTTGGATAGCTCTGAGGTCCAGAGTGGCCCCAGCATAATTTAGACAAGTCATCAGGGTTGTATAAGTAAGGCAGCTCTGTTAGGCTGCTGTCAGGGTGATGGTGCTACTCAAATATCTGCAGTGCTGGGCTCCTGCCCTGTATATTCCATACACGAGAGCTTGTGAGGGATACAGCTGTCTTCCACAGTAACTTGCACTGGGGCCATCCTCCACCGGGGATAATCTGGATCTTTTGTCCAGTTTAAATGGCTGGAATTGATGAGAGGATCTTCCATTTAATCTTTAATTCTCAGAACTTGGGCATGACAAACTGCTGTTTCAGACGTGGAGGAATGTGCTTGATAATGTGTGATAAAGCTTTTTATGATACCTTAAGTAGAAAAAATGTTTTGTGAAACAATTTCATTTTGTCACTTAAAATATAGCTTTTTTTCTAAATTTCAACTAAGCAGCATAAACAAGATTAATATTTAATTATTTTAAAAAAAATCTTTATGGAACAGACTTTAAAAATCCAGTTTTACCTTATGAGCTATATGTAAAATAATTGTAAAGGTTAAAACATTTGTATAGTAATAGAATAAAAAGTTAATGTTTTAGTTTGAATTGTAATACTACTTATGTATACTATTTATTTCACAAACTAGATAATTGTTACTTCGCATAATCTAAACTTAACCCCACAGGTATACTGCCTTCCTTTTTAACTTGTTTACTGTGAGCTTTACTTGAAACATCAGCTTTCATAAAACTTTGTAAATATATTGTGGGTTCTTTCATGTATGTACTGTTTATGTTGAGACATCTGATTAATTTCTTCTGTAATTATTTTAATACTTCATTATTCTTAACTATATCTTTTTTCTCCCCCCACCCTTGACCATGAGAACTCCATAAGAGTTTACTTTTTATCTTAGTCAAAAGCAAGGAATTTTGAATTATTCTCCTGACTACTTTAAGACATAGTATGTTGATGTTTATCAGGATTTATATATATGCCAGTCCATTGGTTTCAGAGAGATTCCCTCCAATGGTTTTAGCATTTGGAGAATGTCTACAGGCTGGGTATCATATTTTTCTTGCCAAGAACTCCATAAGAGTTTACTTTTTATCTTAGTCAAAAGCAAGGAATTTTGAATTATTCTCCTGACTACTTTAAGACATAGTATGTTGATGTTTATCAGGATTTATATATATGCCAGTCCATTGGTTTCAGAGAGATTCCCTCCAATGGTTTTAGCATTTGGAGAATGTCTACAGGCTGGGTATCATATTTTTCTTGCCAGCCCCTATGTATTGAACATGGCTCTTTCTTTTCCCACCATAGGGGTATATTAGAGCTCACTTTTTGTTTATGAATGCCTTGAGACTGCATTTGATTCACACACTTTTTGGTAATGCATTCCTCTTATCTACTCTGTTAGCTTGTCGATATCAAAATATATATATATTTTTTCTATATAGCATGTTATCTTCATATATATACACCATGCTAGTCTGACTTTGTTGCTAGAATAGCTACCCATTTAAAATTTGTCGTCTTAGTTTTTTTGTCAATATCTGTATGTTAATTACTGTTTCTTAGGATTGGGAGACCCTGCTTCCTTTTATGTCGCTATGATCTTTCTTTTAAATGGAGTAATGATGTCATTGTTCTTCATATATGGCACATACCTAAGGTAAGACAATTGAGCAGCAAGTAATTTCAATGGTATTAAGTATTGTTGTTTTTATTTAAATTATGTTTGTAAACATTTTAATTTATGTAAAATGGGTTTCTTGGGATACTCAAGTGAAGCAATTTGTTTTGGAATATTGTTGACAAGTTGGTATTAAATATACAGTTTTTGTATCATATTGGAGAATAAAAGTAAGCAAATATGAGAAGATTAACATTTGGAAATCAGTAAGCCGGATAAGTATCCATTTTCAATAACATTGGATGCCATGACCTCAATTATTAGTGTGACATTTTCTTTTTAAATGTAGATGTTCAATTATGCCTCTAAGCAAACCTGAGGTTTTATAATGCTTTGGCTGCTGCAACAGTGCCTTTGAACTTAAGCTTCTTAGCTAAAAATCTAAAGATTAAGGGGTTTTTTCCTTCTCAGTTGGTGCAATCTTAATGAAATAACGTTGCATATGTTTCCTCCTGTTGTGAATTTCTATGTTTATTTACAGCATCAGTACTCAGTTCAAGATCTACTTGGTTACACTTCTGTTTTTCTGTTGAACGCGAATTACTTCCCTTTATTCTCATAAGCCTGTGGTCTGCCAAACAAAAAGCAGACAATGGATGCAATACTACACTTCTCTGCTCCTTGATTTTTCTCCCTCCTCTTTCTTTTCATAGACTTTAAGGTCAGAAGGGACCATTATGATCATCTAGTCTGACCTCCTGCACAATGCAGGCTACAGAATCTTACCCACTCACTCCTAGAATAATCCTCTCACCTATATCTCAGATACTGAAGTCCTCAAATGATGGTTTGAAGGCCCCAAGATGCAGAGAATCCTCTAGCAAGTGATCCGTGCCCCATGCTACAGAGAAAGGTGAAAAACCTCCAGGGCCTCTGCCAATCTACCCTGGAGGAAAATTCTTTCCCGACCCCAAATATGGTGATCAGCTGAACCCTGAGCATGTGGGCAAGATTCACCAGCTAGACACCCAGGAAAAAGTTCTCTATAGTAACTCCTATCATCCCACCATTGGCTTATTTACCACCGATAGTGAAAGATCAATTAGTTGCCAAGATCATGTTATCCCATCAAACAATCCCCTTCATAAACCTATCTAGCTTAATCTTGAAGCCAGATAGGTTTTTTGCCCCCACTACTTCCCTTGGAAGGCTGTTCCAGAACTTCACTTCTCTAATGGTTAGAAATCTTCGTCTAATTTTGAATCTAAACTTCCTGATAGCCAGTTTATATCCATTTGTTCTTGTGTCCACATTGATATTGAGCTTAAATAATTCCTCTCCCTCCCTGGTATTTATCCCTCTAATATATTTAAAGAGAGCAATCATGTCTCCCCTAAGCCTTCTTTTGGTTAAGGTAAACAAGCCAAGTTCCTTGAGTCTCCTTTCATAAGACAGGTTTTCCATTCCTTGAATCATCCTATTGGCCCTTCTTTGTACCCGTTCCAGTTAGAATTCATCCTTCTTAAACATGGGAGACCAGAACTGCACATAGTATTCCAAATGAGGTCTCACCAATGCCTTGTATAATGGCACTAACACCTCCTTATCTCTACTGGAATTACCTCACCTAATGCAGCCCAAGACCGTATTAGCCTTTTTCATGGCCATGTCACATTGGTGGCTCATAGTCATCCTGTGATCAACCAGGACTCAGAGATCCTTGTCCTCTTCTGTCACTTCCAACTGATGTGTCCCCAGCTTATAACTAAAATTCTTGTTCTGAATCCCTAAGTTCATAACCTTATACTTCTCACTATTAAATTTCATCCTATTACTATTACTCCAATTTACAGGAAGATCTGGATGATCTTGTATGATATCCTGATCCTTTACTGAATTGGCAATACCTCCCAACTTTGTGTCATCTGCAGACTTTATTAGCACACTCCCACTATTGGTGCCAAGGTCAGTATCCTTCTGTACTCTTCTGTATATGGACTGGTGGTATAGAGAGAATGACTTGTTACATTTTGGACACTCCCAACTGCAAATAGCTGTAATGAAGAACAACACTGGGCGAGGGGGAGAAACTGAATAAAGTAGTGAAAATGGGAAGTTGCCTAGTCCAGCTAACTAGTTTCAGGGGTGATACTTAATGTCCTGTTCTGTAGTGGGTTTATTTTGTGTGTATATTTGATATTCTACTGGGTAAATGCAGCAAGTTCTGAGGTAACATAACTTTTATGTAAAATGGAGGCTGTGAGGTAGAGGATGCTTCAGAATGTTATTCACGTTCTTAGTATTTTGTGTCTTACGTTGGGCTGTGCTGGTATACATTTTCAAATTAGATATCTCGTACCACATTTTAAAAAAAATGTAAACACAAGCCACCTGCAGTTCAAGTATATACAAAAGTTTAGATCTTTGAAATCAAAGGTAAGATAGGTAATATCTCTTACGGGGCCAAGTGCTGTTTTTGAGCTTCACAGAGCTGATCTTCTGGACGTCCTTCCTGTAAAGAGGAAGGAAGTATATCATCTGTGTAAAAATAATGGCAGAGAGAAAATAGTATTCTTTTTTTCCCTTTCCTGAAAAGCAGTATAATTAAAACTGATGAAAGGAGTTTTAAAAACTCACCCTCTCTCTGATCAACCAACCAATGTAATTCATTACTACAAGATATGGAAGTCAAGAGTTTGGTAGGATTAGACATTATATTGTGTATGTGAGCACTCATGCTCTCATATATAAAAAAGATTAAAGATGCCTTGAAACAAGAGGGTTTAACCTTCTTATTCACAAACCAAGTAGCTGCTGAAGTTTGTGAGGAAATATCTTCATAGCAAGTGATTCCATAAAGAGTTTTCTTATGTGTTCCCTTCAACTACTTGTTTGTTGCCTATTTTTAAAGACAGGAAAATGGATTAGATAAACAATTGGTAATCCTAGTATGGCTATCAATCTTGGCTGCCTAGAGATTGAGGGATCTTAGATAGTTCCATGAGATGTGAAAAAAATCAAAAGGCAGCATGGCCATTTTGAAGGGATTTAGAATCAGGTGTGAACTAATAACTTTTAATGGACCACCTTCTGTTTGAGATGAGCTTTCAAGCTACACAATGCTGCTATTCATGTCTGTGAGGCATGAAAGCTTGTGTCTCTCACCAACAGAAGTTGGTCCATTAAAAAGATATCACCACCTCCACCTTGTCAAGCCCTGGCCATGTGTACAGGATAGACAATCTATGTAATCTCCTCACCACGGGCGAGTAGATGACAACTTGGAAGAGCCGGGTTCGGGCGATCTGCGCATGGCAGATCTCCGGACAGCACAGCTGGCAAACGGGGCTCACTGCGGCTCGGCAAGCCCTGCACATGGCTACAACTACACTGCATAGAATCAGGTCAGTAGTTTTGGTTAATAACTTAGGGTATGTCTACACTACAGCGCTAATTCGAACTAACTTAGTTCGAATTAGTTAGTTAGAATTAGCTTAGTTCGAATTAATGCATCCAGACTAAAAAACTAGTTCTAATTAGCGTTTTGCTAATTCGAATTAGCATGTCCACACAGAGTGGACCCTGAACCAGGGTTAAGGATGGCCGGAAGCAGTGCCGGCAGGGCATCAGATGAGGACTTAGAGCATGGAGCTGCTGTCTCAGGCTAGCCGAGGGCTGTGCTTAAAGGGACCCGACCCCCACCCCGGACAGACAGTTCTCAGGGGTGTCCCGCTTGCAAAGCAGTCCTGGCTTGGATTGCCCGGAGTGCCCACACTGGGCACATCACACCACTCGGCCATCAGCCCGGCTGCACTTGCCGCAGGCTGCCATCTG